TTTGGCTCGCCGGTCCGGGCCCGCAGGCAGAGCGTAGCCCTAGGCACACATGACAAAAGCTCAAAGGCAGCCAGGTTTTCTGGCCTGCGGAGTTCATTTTTTTTGTCTAGCTGTTCTAAGTATGTTTTCAATCGTGTCCACTCTGCAACTCAGGCTGAGGAAATTTTATAAACAGCTCAGTTCAGCTCCAGGATCAAAAAGATAGTTGAGCTTTGAAGGGATTTTTCTTTCTATTTCTTTTAGAACTAAGTATTTGTTTCTATTTGTCTGGAAGAAAGAATGAGTAAGCTTGGCTCCTCTCCAAGGATCCAGCATGTGGGGTTAAAAAAAGAAGGGGGAACATCCAGTCATTATGAAATAAAGTCTAAAAAACAACAACAGGAAAAGAAAAAAGCCAATACCCTAACTTCTGTACTCTGAAAGGCTAAAAAAATCACTGCTGAATTAAAGTGAGAACCAAAAGGTTGATACTGCCAGAATTACGTTAGGTTAGTTCCATCAATCTGCATGTACCAGGTCTAGATGGCTGCTGGCAGCTGATGGCTCTTCCCCCACAGACCCACACGTGTAACCTGCTGTTCAGTAGTAAACAACCTGTTTACAGAATTTGGGCAACTTTTTTTCCCCACAAGAAAAGAAAAGGAGGATTAATTAGCAAACTGTTATTTCACAATTCCTACCATGAGAGAGACCTGACCATCAGCAAGGAGCCCAGTTAGCAGGGAAGGCATTCTGGGATTCGATTGCTCATGTGTAATGGCTGAATGAATAAATATATCCCATCTTATTTTCAAATCTGGCACTTGTGGATTGATTCCTGAAGCAGCTACTTAGTCAGGTGAAGCGTCATGGGACCCATGGTTAGACCACAAAACACTTTTTTCCTCCCTATTTTAGCTGACTGAGAAACACAGTTTCATAATATGTTTTTTTAACCAAAGGTGTCCTAGTCTTATAAAGATACTGCAAGATCTCTAGGACTCCTTTCATGCCTTCAAAATAAGAGATGCACTGTGATGCTCTCCTTTGTTCACAAAACCTGATTTTTACTGTGTGATGATTTTAGAATTCTCTTTTTATGGGTATATGAAGAGGTTGAAACTTCCCAAACTATCTCACTGTTGGAGCTGCAGCAGTCATGAGAGGGCCCCTTTTCACAGCTCTTTGGGGTCCAGTGGATTTTAACAAATATTCACACCACACCCACACCTGCGGCAATCTGAGCAGCAGGGATGCCTCAAAGGAGCTAAGTCCAGCCATTTTCTTAACAGCAATGCAAATTGCGGCTCCGTGATACCGAAATAGACCTAATCCAGGTACTCCAGCCCGTAAATCCATTTTGACCTGAAATTGGTGCAAAGACCACGCAAGATGGATGGTCCTAAATTTTAACCATGAGAAAGCAAAGAGGTGCTGGGGCTGGTAAGAGCAAGACCCCGAGGCTTTGCTGCCCGTTTGTTGAGGGACCCTCAGGGGCAATGCAGGGCTCACCCCGATGCTCGGTCAAAGTAGAAGAGCCGCTCGCTGGTCCCGTTGAGAGCGCTGGCCCGGGAAGGAGCGGCGAGGTAGTGCTTCACGCTGTGCACCGTCCCTGTCCGTCGCTGGTAGATATCCGCCACCACCTGGAAAACGGCTTCCCTGGGATAGCAGAGGGCAACGCGCAGCCAGTCTCCTCTGTCAGCAAAAAGGGGAGGAGGGGGGAAAGAGAGAAAATGCACTTAAGGACTGGAGTACAGGAGAGATGGTCTGCAGCCAAGAGTACAGTCTTCAGGGGAAAACAAAGAAATGTCCTTTGAGGATCTCTTCCCCCTTTAAAAAAACACAACAAATCCTCAAAGCCAAAGAAAATCAGATTTTTTTGCTTTGTCTGGAAACAACAGCTGCTTATTACGAAGGTCTGATCCAGGGACCCCGGCTGACCTCAGAGGACTTTGAGTCAGGTGCCAGGATGGCTTAAAACCAGAGATTTTCCCTTCCTTGTCCCATAAGGCTGCGGTACAAGCAGTCACATACCCACTCGCATCTCCTGAGGCAGCCAGGGCTTGTTTTAGTTCATCCAGAGCTGCTGCGGGAGAGGGAACCGGCATCCAGCAGACATTTCACCGGGGGCACAGATTCAAGAATTAGAAACTAATCTCTGACTTGAACCAGAGCCACGGTCTAAAGAGACCTGCTTCCTCCACTTTGCAGAGAAGTTTATTATTATGGTTTCCATTAAAATCTCCCTCTCCCCTGCTCTTTCTTCAACGTCAGTTTAGAATAACTAAGGGTAAAGTTAAATAGCCTTTTAACGCTTGTGTATCACAATTTCAGCACGCACATTTACAAAAAATTGCCCCCGTAGCTTTCTTTTATCCTGTGATTTGCATCATCACCCTCATGGAGAGGAAACCTGGCTCCAAACTAGAAACCTTTGCTACACGATTCAGACCCAAAAGATGCAGCTACGGTAAACTTTGGACACTGATGGGAAGGATCTTCCACAAAACCCAACACCCTTTCCTGTCTGCGGGATGTATTTATACTGTACAAAGCAGAAAGCCACAAGAAGTTCACACTTGGAAAATCAAAATGAATACCAAAATAATTAGCTTAATTATTTTTTTTCTTTCCACCCTCTGAAGTGGCTCAGTGTACCACATCAAAGTGCCTGAGCCAGTACCGTGGTTGGCTTTCCTTACATTACCAAAACCATACCAGCTTTAAATGCATTCTTTTAATTACCTGGCTTCCTGGTTAAAATGTAAGAATATGAATTTAGCTTAGAGAAAGACAAATACCACCTTCATCGGCTGTCTTTCTAGGCCCTACAGAGCTGAAGAAGACAAAGTTTCTCCAAAGGCTCCCCCGAAATGACCCGCCACCCATCCCCGCCTGCTGAGCAGTAAATGAGGGGAAACCGCTTTGGAGAAACTGGGGAATCTGTAGGCCTAGACCTCTGCTTTGCATTACACACGGAGAGCACAAACGCAAAGCTATTTCAGTCGTTTTCTGGTATTCTCATTAAAACAAAACAAAAGTATCTACAGGATGGAAGAGGGGACAGGCTGTTCTAGAATAATATATCAAAGCTGCACAAAGACCCATCAGCTTACGCCAGACACTGCCCTCTAGATTTTAAACAACTCCAGCTGTGTCATAACACAGGACAGCTAGAAAACGGATATATTTTCAGATGATTTGGCTTCCAACTAGAGGAAATGAAAGAAATGCAGCAGAGCCATGTTTGTGGAATATTTTTGGGATGGAGTCCCAAGACATTTGGCTGTTTCATAAGGGTGATTTGCATTGCGTTAGCATATTTCACCCCCTGAAGTCACCATCAAAAAAGGGCTTGTCATCTCCCTCAGATGCTGGGAATGGGGTTTGGTGCCATGCTACACTGACTGCACCTCCCTGGGGAACAAGAAAGGCCTAGAGAAGGCAAGTGGAAGGTGAAAGAAAAGAAAAAAAACAGTGTGAAAAAACCCACAGCTGTGGCCGTCTTGGGTCGCTGGGGCGTTTGGGAATATGAGTGCTAGAGCCTAGTGTGCATGTGAGCAGGCTGGGTGAAACGTTGGAATAAATTATATCAAGATTGAAAGGGTGAAATGAAAAGCACCTACTTTGGAGTTTGTGGAGGAAGAGATGGAAATAAGTGCATTCCCACAACAAAGGGCTTGGGAGGAGATGTGAGAAGGGAAGGCATTAGAAGTTATCTTTTATGTAAATATAGGAAAGAATAAGGTGGTTATTTTCTCTTTAATTTAGCGGTATTTTAACAGCTTCCTATTTAGTTCTTTACTTCAGGTCTGTTTCTTCAGCTTGTACAAAATCCAGCGTAAACCCTCCCAAATGCCTGGCTGTGTGGCTGACCTGGGCTCCACCGTCTCCAGGAAAAGCAAAGCAAGAAACAGCAGCGCGACCGCGGGACGGTCCCCAGGACTCTGCCCTGCAGCTGGCCAGCGGGTGGGGGTTAGATGCCTGTCCTCCAGCCATTGCCAAAACCAAGGGAGAAACGCAACCTCAGGCAACAAGCAGTGATCAGGCATGGCATGTCTTGGACGTTGCGTTCAAAGGAAAAGAGATGTCCGTGTGCCTTCCTCAGCCGCTGCTCTGGCCACACCAAGGATGTCCTGGCTGGGTCCCAAGTGCAGGAAGCCTTCATCTTTTTCAGGATGGTCAATAAACTGTGGCTCCTGCTTTACTTCTCTGCTTAAACCTCGCAGTTCTGTCTTATTTACCAGCTGCTACTCTGGGGTGAGTATTTGCAGACAGAATAAGAAAAATAATTCCCTGTTCTGCCGCTCTCAGTACCGGCACGTCAGCTGGGATCTTTGCAGATGCCCTGGAGGTTTGGAGACACACGCAGCACTAGCAAGAAGAGAAAACACTGAATTCACAGCAGATCCCAAATTACGAATTCGGAGTAATTTCAGACCCCTGCCTGAATGTTGTGGGAACATGTGTACCTTTAGACACGTCTATGCTTAAAAACCAGCACAAACAAGGGGAAAAAAATCATTTAAAGCACAAGGGCTAGAAGTCAGACTATCGATACACAAAATGCTGCTCAATGTAGCAATACACAGGACTTTTTTTTAAAAAAAAACCTTTCATTCTTAGGAGTTTCTTGCAAGAGGAACAAATAAAAAAATTCTCAGGTGGAAAATCTGACTTTGGAATTAGCTGACAGTTTAAGTGAAAACCATGTTAACATGTGTAGGAAACTAACTCGAACTGTTTAAGATATTTTCATCCCAAAACTAAGCAACTGTGTTCACAGCCTTTTCTAGTGATGAAGTTTGGTTCATTTTAGAAGTAAGGAACATTGTCCTTTCTTTTTTTCATTCCTATTCTTAATCAGGCCAATATTTTCCTATGTGCTTTTAGAAGAAAAATTAAAATTGGCATTTGAAGGAGAAAAGCTAAATATGCACTATCAAAAAATCAGTGTTTAGTGGGTCCTAACAGTTTCAAACACCACTTGGAAAATTTTTGAGAGTCTGCCGACAGCAGCCTGTATAAAACCTGACACTTCTGCCCCTCTGTTACTGTCATTCAACAATCCCCACAGTGCGTTTCATGCATTTTTGTGAATGTATTTAGCCTCTTTATTTCCTTTTGGAAATGGCTGGGTGAAACAAACCCAAGAAGCCTTTCTTTTTGCACCAGGATATTGGCATCTGCAGTTCTGGCTCTTTCAGGTGAAGCAAAAACATCAGGCAAAGTGTTAAAAAAGTGTTCTTATGTTTTGGCAATGAGCAGGCTTCCTGGGATAAGCAAAAGCAAAAAAGGACAAGGGAAAAGCAAAAAAAAAGCAGGCAGGAGGTTTCATGTTCTTGGACATGTGGTAGATACAGATCTGCACGTACACACATACATACCTCATTTACAACCCTCAGAACAACACCCCCAGCTCAACCCCAAACTCCCAAAGGCAAAGCCACTCAGAAAAACGTGATCAAGCAGGCAAAAGAGGGGAGACTTTTGTGAGTGGTGGGATGTGAAGTGAGTCATGTAACTTGGAGATGAGATTTGGCCCGGGTAAACATAGAAAGAGTGCATGTCTGGAACCTTTACCACCCAGGAGAGGACAAATAACACTTGTTCAATATTGTGAACGCGCCCCTTTACATCAGATGGAGTATCAGACCTGGGAAAATGGGTATGATCTAGTGCTGGAGTTGCTGGTTATGATGGATGTCAATCCTGGCTGTACTTTAGCTAAGGGAACTTCTAAGGTGATAAATATTACTCTAGAAAACATCTCCACCGTATTTATTGACATGGTCTGTCACATAGCCGATGACCATGGAAGTGCACAGTCCAAATCCTGATCTCACTGATGAAAGTATGGGGTAAGCTAGTGAGGGAATACTGTAGAGTACAACTAAAAATTACTTATTTTTTCCTTGGGCTCAAAAAACCAAGAGACTTTCATCCAGTGAGTCAGTCTCCCCCAACTGTTATTACTCCTATTTAAAAGCAACCCCTCTGACATTTTGGTCAACACCTACATGAGCTGAACTTTCAAAAGGAGTGAGACAACTGGGAATTTGAAACTTTCCTGTTCTTAATATGGGAACTAAGCAGAAATCACCATGTGCTGCTTTGGTAAGTTTGTCTCTCACAGGCCAAATTTTGAACTTCAAAAGACAAAAAAAGCAAAGCCACTATTCAGCCTCCAACCCATCCCAAGAACAAATCACAAGAGGTCAACACTCCTTGCTCTCAGTCAGGATACAGCTGTTTTTTTCCCTCCAAAAATGTCTCCCAACCTCACAACCACCTGCCCAGCACCAGGCTGAATCTCTTCTGGCACAAAACCTTTTAGGACAAGCCACCTCCTCTCCCCACCAGTGATGCTAGTTGGAAAACAGTGTGAGAAATACCCACACATCTCACAGATGCTGAGAAGAGTGGAAAAAGGGCTGCAAGGAACCTGGCCACCTCCTCACCATTTCCTCTCAGTTCAAGCTCTTCCCCTTGCACCCACATTTCCACTGGCTCCCTGCAGCTGACACTCACTCCTTCTCTTTTCTAGATTTCTTTTTAATTTTCTGCCTTCAACTCAAGTCCATTAAACACATCCAAACCCCCCGCGATGACAAACATGGCTACTGGGTGAACATCCAGCAACATTTTTCAAGACTTTGTTATTAAGGATAGACTCTTCCAGAAGACCGCTTGCT